TACTGAGTAAATTCCATACGTCGTCTTTGTTGATAACCCTGTATACATTCACAAATATATCATATTTTTACAACAAAAACTTTAAAATGATCTTTATGCAGTAAAAATGTTAAAATATTCGCGGAATAGTGGGCGGTCGTTGTAAGTTCAAAGTGGGGAATGTCCGATTTACAACGGTACCCTTCAAACCTTAAAGGAAGTGTCGCAAAATGAAAGGGGGTATAGCCTATAGGCTTACGGCGATAAATAATCGCTTTTGATCGCTACTAATCTTTCCTCTATCTGTTGCGTCTAAAATGAGAAAATTGTTTCAAACGTCTCATACCGAAGAACGTAGATTCCTTACAAATTCAGAAAGATGCAACATTCAACTCGGATCGTATCAAAATCAATTTAATTCCAAACAAATCATTCAGATATTACAACTTACAGTCATCGATTATTTTTAGACACATTCTTATAAAGTTAATATTTCATAATATTTTTTACTTTCTATGATCCTCGAGAGTGACTTTTGAAAACATTCGTTCCTGATTCGAGGATTTTGATAATGAAGAGGACATTTTCCATATTTTCCGGGAATGCGCCAGTCGCAAAAACTAGTTATAAGTGAAATATTATAACTATTAATTACTACTTAACCGGGAGATTAAGGGAGGATAATTAAATTACGCATCGTGAGGTTTAGAACCCCAAAAAGGTCTTGGATTATCCTCATGAAAACTCCCGGTTAAGTAGTTATTTATCGTTTAATCTCCTGTTCAACGAAATAACCAACCGTGGGGGATAAAATAATAATGAAATCAATAAAACTATCAATTATGATTTTAATTCTATTTCTTAATCAGCATCAAATGAAGAAAAGGAAAAAGTTTGTTTAATTGTGTGTTTGGATCATGAACCCTTGGACCAAAATTTGACTGGGAAACTTTTATGTTTTAAGCTTAATTTAAAAGTTCGATATTCAGTAAATTGAATTTTACAGAGAGTAAATTTTCCCGGCAAGATCGGGTTCCCAAAATAGTAAACTATAAAGTACGTTAAGGCCACCATATTTTTCTTTACATTAAAACTTCCGACGCGGCCCGCCCTACCAGTTGATTGTACATGCTTTGCTATTTTGATTAGCAGTCAAAACAAACTTTAATAAATATAAATAATTGAATATTAACATACCAATCTTTTTTAAAAGTTTTTTTAAAGGCATCTTGTCAATAGCTATCTATAAATATTTTGATATATTTGTCCCAAATAATTTACATAAAACACCCGCTGGGTTTTCTCATTTATAACCCGGCATTGTTAAATTATGGGTGTGTTACAGTATGATGGCTAGGGAGGGGCAAATAGAGAGCCTTTTAATAAAAATCTACCAAAATACCTAAGATCAATAAGACACAAAATAAACAAACTGCCAAAAGATCACAAAAGAAAATAGCTTAAACTTCATAAAACAAAATCAAATCAACAAAAAACAATATTTCTCTCCAAAAACTAATTTGCTGAAAATCTTTTTTTTATTTTTGAATAAAAAAATGTCTGGACACTCTGTATAAAGAATACGCTCTGTATAAGGAGAAGGAGGGGTTTAAACATAATTAAACTCGTCATTTATTTCAATTCTATGCATCTATAAACATGAAATATTAAAGGGACTGTAACAGCATTTATTTCAATTCTATGCATCTATAAACATGATATATTAAAGGGACTGTAACAGCATTTATTTCAATTCTATGCATCTATAAACATGATATATTAAAGGGACTGTAACAGCATGTTCAAAGGACCCTCCAATCTTCATGCAAAGAATGGAATCCCCGATTTACATAGGTACCTGTTTAAACCTTTTACTCAATATAGAGTGCAGAGAACTCCGTGCGTGTATCTCTAAAATGGTGTTCAAATTGCCTATTTTCTTGAGTGTGCGCTACCATTTAACCGAACTGACTTTTTACATATATTTCTTATTTTTTAAATCCAGAAATTTCCATGTCAATAATAATATGTGTTTTCTGTGACAACTTGAAATCAAATATTAATATTTATTTACATTTCTTAAATAAAAAACCATCTGACAAATAAAGTGACGAACAATTACAAGCGTCATCCTTTAAGTCAACTAGGTTTAAAGGATACTGTTGTGAATCGGACATGCCACTCTATAGCTGGAATGTCACTTGAAATTACGTCTACAGTCCCTTTAAGACGGTGCAATATACTTTGATTTATTAATCCTTTAGGATATTAATTTTCTAAAATGAATTTGATTAAAATATTCTGAAGACGATTTTAAGCTCTAAATCTAGTCTATTAATTCTAGCATCTACATTCTACATTGCACATACAATATTTAAATCTATATAATAAAACAAGATATTCGTATATAGATAAGTTGTGTATAGCCAGCCAAACGGCTGGACAGATTGGGCTGAAAGTATAGGCTAAAATAAAATTAAAAATTTTTTTTACTCAAAAATTTTTCTTCTTTTTTTAATAAAAAATTCAATTTTTTTCCCATGGACAACGCAAGACCCATCAGCTAGTATGTTATAAGACATTAATAGGAATCATGTCAATTGACTGCAGAATTGCTAGAATTAATGGCAATCCCCTAATTATTTAAATTTTTAGATATCACCCTCAAGGTAGGAGAGCAAAAAAATATTGATTTTTTTCACAAACTCTAATTTTCTTATCCCTATATCTTTGTAACCTGGTAATATTTAAAACTTTAAATATTTGATTTCCTAAAATCCTTAATTTGAATTATCAGGTTCAAAGCTGTAAGGAGAATTAGAGTTTGTTGCAAGTAACCAGTTCCTTTGTTTGATTAAAAATTATATATTTAAAATCTATTTTATTTTCAGAAGCTCTTCAGAAAATGTTTCCATTTCTGATTCCTTCCCAATGGCTTGAAATTTTGATCTAAAGTTTGCAGGCTTTCATGCAAACATTTATTTTGCCAATTCTTGTTAAAAACTGCAAATCAAAATAAGTGCTTTATATGTTCTAAAATGTAACATGTCTTGCGCTATATTAATCACTAACTCACTGTTACCTTTTTGTAGCCCTAGATATGTGCATTTAAAAACAATAAAGCACTTGTTTTTAGCTGAAGTTTCTATGAAGTAATTGTCAAAATTCTTTTTAATTTGTGTAAGAGCTTGCAACTTGGATCAGGGTGTCTATATGGATTAGAACCATAGATAAATAAATAAACATAGATAGCTCATTTACGCAAAATCACTAAGAATTGTACAGTCCGCGAACTCATACTTCTAGGGGTCAAAGTGTACTTCAATGATAAGCGGGGTGGTTTGGTGTTTTAATGGATGTCATAATTGTTAAACCACTCATGAGTGAATTTTATTTTGAGAATATCAAATTATGGGGTAGAACATTTAAGAGTCATAGCTCAATTATTTCTCTCTGCAGAACTCATGTACACCACAAGTACTCAATGACATAAGAACAGCCAATGTTCACAACCGACCTAGTTAATCTATATATTAGGAATATCTTTAAAACATTTATATCTTTCAAGATGAAAAATGTCGTCTTATGCGCAATCTATCTTTATCTATGATTATACATGCCTGCCACATTCTGCATACTGCTGCAAACTATGCATAATGCAAGCATAATTGGTCATGCATACATATACTTTATAAGGACTAGACACGTGTCAAAAAGATTTATTATCTTGACATTTTATTTAAAGGTAGGGTGGGGGAGGGATGTCTTACATAAATTTAATATAAGGAACTTTTAATGGTATAACCATATATAAAAACTTGATAATTTTGGACTAAAAATCTTTTATAATTTCTGTTCAAATTATATGTTTAACTTTAACATTAACTTTATTTTGACCTCTCTATTTGTTACATTTCTTCTTAATATTGCTTTGATTTGTATTCAACAATTTGTCATATTGTAAGGGGAAAAGATTAAAACTTAAAAGTATTGTTTTTTTCAAAAATTGGTAAGATTTACAACATAATGTTTCATTTGTAATTCACGATGTTGATAAAAACAAATACTACTGGATTACTTGAGATGAGCGTGCACATCTTGGTTTGCGGTGCTTTATCGCATAGTACGATGAAAAATGGTGAATTTAAAAGCATATATGTTAAGACTTGAAATTGTGTCTAGAAAAGGCCTGAAATCCTAGTTCATTATAAATAAGTATCTATTATTATAAAGAAAATAATTGTTCTACTTGTGTTATCAATGTTGTTCAGAAACTCATAACTTGCCCTCTGATTTCTTACAGCATGCGTAATTACACAGAGATCTAGACTGCTATAAAAAGTTGCATCCATTTAATAGACTGCTGTGTAGAGTAGCTCTAGACCATCTTAGTTCCGAGAAGGTCCAGAGCTACTCTCCCTATAAGAACTGGTGAGAATGTGACGTTTTCATCTGAAAAAATAGAAAAATAATATTTAAGATTTTTTCGATTTTTAAACCCTCCACCTCTCTTGTCCTTTCCATTATGTTCCCTTTCTATCTCTTTAATACTAAATTAAACCAGTTTGTTTTTGCAAACAGTTCCAGAGAGCTGAAGTTGGTTCAAGAAAAATCTTCACAAAGCTAAATACTGCAATTTTCAATAAAGAAATTTCAAGAATTGCTTCTTTCAAACTTTGTTTTTAATTAGTTTTTAATCTTCGTACAGACATGAGAACTGTACTAGTACAACATTCTTTAGTCAGTCAAAACTAAATATTTTTTTATTATTATTTTTTTTATTTTTAAATTTCCAAGTTAGTGCCTTAATCTTTTAACTGTACAGTCGCCACAAATTCTAATTTCTATTCCCTATATTTTTGCAATCTTAAGTCTGAGAAATTTGATATTTCAAACAAAAGTTTTAAAGATTATCACACCATCAGATTGCAAAGATGAAGCGGTTAAAAATTAGAGATAATGCGCGTTCCCCACTAGCTATGTTTAGACAGGATTGAATCCTAAACTGTCTGAGTAGGGGGGGCTTTCATATCTCCAGTTCAATATTTCAATGCTTAGTGATAGGCCAGGAGTAAACCTTCTCCCATCCCTCCTACTAGTGGTGGGCGTACTGGGCTGGGGGGCGTGGCATGAGATTAGGATACAGGAGCAGGGGAGGAGGATTCAGGAGTTGGAAAACAGGAACCAAATTTAATGAAAAGCAAGAATTACTTTAACTACTTTGTCTAAGTTGAACCACCTTTTTTGAGCTTGAATCGGTGCCCATGAGATGTGGCTTAATCTATACTACGAAGTTCAACTACTTCTATCTATTTATTAAATCTGGTTCCAGGATAATTAATCTGGAAAACCTGGATGAGATAAACCTAGCAGAGGAGGAGTATATAAAGGTAATCAGGTTCAACTACTTTACAAGACTGTTTATTTAACGCGACCTTCCATTTCAAGTGTTTTACGTTTTGTCTGATCCCGTAGGAATAAGATTTCAAAGTTTTTTTTTCTCTAAAAAAATTATTATTCTAAATCGTGGTTACTCTAAAAAAGTTACTTGCGATTTTTTTCCAGCAGATACCGCTGAGGAAATTGTCAGACTTAGACACGCTTCAAGCTAGAAAAGCGAAAATATCTTTTTTGATCAAACAACGCTTTCAAGTGTAAGGTTTTTAATGGATGTCATAATTGTTAAACCACTCATATTTCATAATTTGGTTTTCTTTTAATATTAATTTTAGATTTTCTATAAAATGATATTCCAGGGCCCAAAAGGTTATATAGCATAAATATGTGAAGTACACCTGAGTATGGAAATAGTACAACAAAATGGCCGTTTTACACTTTTTTTTTTAGTAAATTCTCCTCTAATATATATTCTATTCTCTTTGATAATAGATGATATAGGTATTTTGTATGTGTATAAATGTACACTTGCCTTAAACTCTTATGATAACCTATATACATGTTAAATCTTGATGTTAAAATAATTCATTCATTCGTTCATAATCGGACGCTATAATAGTGCATATACAATTGAAATTTCATAAATTTTAACAAATAATTAAAGATAAGAATGTCAAATTTATGCAACAATTTTCATTATATCCGAACAAAACCTAGCAGAGATTTGTCATTTAAAGTAAAACTTTTTCGCGCAATTTTCGTGTATATTTCGCATTAAATTTCGCAAAATTTGTTTTTGCGCAAAACTACGGAATTCCATGCAAAAGCGTTCGATATGCGTAAGTAGATCTGGGCGAAATTGTGTAAATTTGCTTCCGCGGAAACCCTACGAAGTACGCATGGCATAAATACATAAATACCGTATGAAAAAGAAGTAATAAAATATATGATTTGATTTGATTTTCGGAGTGTTTAAAGTCTATTTTAGTTTATTTTAACTACTTGTGTTATTAAAACAATAAAATATGATTCAGTACAAAATCTGAGTTATGTGGTACATAATAATGTTATTGTATAGACCTCTTTATTTCATAACTTCGATGTTCTCGTTTTTAGCTTTAGTTTTAAAAATCCTGTTAAATTTTTAGTTTAAAAATCCTGTTAAATTTTTGTGTGAGAGCCATTTCCTATGATGGTATACAATGATATGTCACTGCATCTTCCAAGGCTGCATTTGTTGCATAAAACGTGCCGGGTCGAATCTGCAAAATTGAAAGTGTAAGTCGTCTTCATTGTATTGATATAATCACAACTATATATATATATTTATATTTTGTTCAGTTAATTTTTTGAAAATGAATAAAAATAACCTTTGAACTTGTGATCGTGTACACAGTTCACTACAAATATTACTTTAAAATATTAAATAGGTTAATTTCTTTTAAAAATTCTTTTGAATTGTCACTGTGATTTAAAGGTTGCGAACTCTCACGCAAAAATCAGAGAGATTTTTGCCAAGTACTTCTTAAAAACCACTTCAAAGTCGACCATGTCTCAAAAATTGATGATGAGACTTTTTCTAAGAAAACTAGTGCTTCTATGATCATGAGAATAATCCACTTTTGGTCCTCTTTCTTTTTAATTTTCAGTTCTTAAAAGTTATTAAAATGAATGTCATTATTCTAAAAGAGCTGTAATGAAAGCGCAAATTCTTACACAACCGTTTAGAGATAATTAATTTATTACTAAGCACGCCAATTCAATCAATTCTTGGTTCTAATTACATTATTATTTAAGAATAATGAATTTAGTTATTTCACGTTTTAATTTTTTTAAGACATTATTTTTATTCCGTTTTTGTAAACAACAATTTTCTTTTCCACGGAATTTTGGTGTACCTAAATCCCATTTTTTGAAACTAAGGCTTTTATATAAAATCCATTCTGTTCGTAAAATAAAAAAACAATAACAAAAAAGTTTGCTGAATCAATAATATTTTTCATAGAAATCCAAAAATTGGGGAGACACTTTTTGTAATTTTTAGCTTCCATAAACCTTCCTTGGGGTCACGTGAGCCCCCCCCCCCCAATTTGGGCTCGATCGGTTCAGCTGTTTTGACGTTTATTGGATACAAAAAAAATGTGGCCGACATAGGAGAAAGGGAAGGATATAAACTTTTTTTCAAAGACGATTCTCTTTTCAGATTTAAAATCACCACAATAAAAAGTGCAAGATTGGTCCGTAAGGTAAAATCAATCCACGTGAAACTAACTAAAACCAATCCACGTAAAACTATTATTCTTTCTTATTCAAAATCTGCCGAAAAAAGCGTAAGAGTCTATAAATTTTAAAATTTAAAATACATCCCAACAAAATAGTATAAAATAAAATATATAAAATATATCTTTAATGAGTAAAAATGGGTTCTACAGTTGAGAAAAATAAAAATAAACATCAAATATATACAATTTTAAAGGGACTGTAAGCATAAGTTCAAATGACCCTCTACACGCGTAAAGAGAACAATGCCTGATTGAACACCGTTCCCTTTAACCTTTCACTGTTCGTTGAGTAGAGAGAACTCTATGTGTGAATCTCTTAAATAGCTGTTGAATCGTTCTAAAACCCGGTGTACGCTGCGTACAGTGTGAACTTTGCACAGCTGATGTGTCACTAAAGCGTCCCTTTGAAAATATCGTATTTTTTTAAATAAAAGCTGGTTTCAAACAAATTTTTATTTTCTGCCACTTCTAGTATGCAATTGTTTATGTTTTACGAACAAAATGTTTAACAATTAAAATCGTTGCATTAGATTAACAAGGATATGTCCATGACATCCTTGATCAGTCAAAGGTTTAAAGGGTATACTGTTGTAAATCGGGGATACTCCTCCTTAAATTGAAAATACGTCTAAAGTCCCTTTAAAGGTGCGAGCTCTAAAAAATCCAACTAGCAAAGAGCAGGTGTGGGAATATATCTAACTATCTATCTAATTATAAAAGAGGTTATGCATACTATCTATCTATCTATCTGTATAATAAACGATATTTGAAACAATGCAGCCGGGAGGAGCAATCTATTTATTCTTAAAGATAATAAGATTAAGTTTTCAGGATTTTGCAAACATTTTTCCATTTGTTAACAATGCCACATATTTTCAACATTTTATACATGTTGTGTATAATAAGTTTATGCCGTTACAAAGTTTGCTAAAATACACTTTTTCAAGCAGTTTAAATATAGATGAATTTCAAGAATCAAGAATCATAAATCAAATCAATGCTGTTCAATTGTGGTCTCTCTTTATAAGTAACTTGCGGATATATTGATATAATAAAACACTTTTCGAGCTTCAGAAAAATAGCGATATCTTCTTCATTTCTTTGTTTTTAATATCACTTAAGAATATATTTTCTATATATATTTATAGAAGTTAAGAAGAAATAGAACTAAGGAAAGAGAAAAAAGTTTTTTTACATTTTACTGTGGTAAATTAGATAAGAACAGCTCAGATACAAGTTTGATAATAAGAAAGTATAGTCTCTACTTTGTTCTTATCCTAAACTAAAGAAAATAACTTTTTTTGCGTAAAATTGTACATTTCTAGGGCTAAAAAAAGTATTGCCCCGTTTATAAATTTTATGCAATGAGCTAAAAGGATTGTCATTTTAGTTTTAAGGGCAGGCCCTATTAATAAACCCTTATCTTATCAAAAATGTAGAATATATCGTCGTTTTTTTAGCTTTAAAATTAATCAAATAAAAAATTACATAAAGGAATAAATCTTTGCCACAAACTAACATTTGTCTAATCCCTATATATATGCAACCTGACGGTGTAATCCTTTGATATTTCAAAGTTAAATTATTTGATCTATCAGAACTTATAGTTTGAAATATCCTAAAGTCTACGACTTCGGGTTGAAAAGATATTGAAATTAGAAAATGAGATAAACTAATAATAGCTTAGTTATTCTTTATCAGACATAGGTTTTAAGGGAACCGTTGAGAATAGGACATTTATCTCTGTAACATGTTGAGTCACTTCACTGTCAGCCGTATTTGAATTTCCGAGCCGGGTCAACCTTTTCGGTCCCAGATAGTACTGTATCGCCCGGACATTGGTTAATGAAGCAGACATTCAATATGACTAGCCGGTGCAACAAGGCTGACGCGGTCAGACTTTAGGTTGAATTTACTTTTACTGAAGGGTCAGGGGTGTGTGACTTGAAATTCTGTTTATATAAAAGTAAGGGGTGAACTGTCTAGTTGGGAGAAAAGGAAATATATGGGAACAGCATGGAAACCCCATAAAGGAAAGAATTATTATTCGGTGCAGGGAACTAGAACCATGTTTCTTTATACATATATATTTTGATATATATATTTATATATATGCAATGTATTTAGATATATCTCATGGTCCAGGGTACAGCGATATACACAAATATTAAGCATGAACCAGGCATAGAGACCGAGCCGACTTTGAAAATTCGCCAAGCCTTAAGCCATAGTTTTACCTTTTTACTACACTCGCACTTGTAACCCTGAATTAGAATTTCTACTCCCCCTGTATATTTTATATTGAAGGAGTGTAACCTCACCAAAAGAAAATGTTCCCTTGGGAGTTTACAATTTATTGGAACTCCTGCAGTTGGATGGAAAATTTATTGAAAAATAAAGAAAAGTACAATTATTTTTATTTTTTTTTCGGGAAAAGTAGAATTTCAACAGTGTCAGAAAATCAAAATGGAACAAAAAAATTCACATTCAAAAACAAATTGAAATAAGATTTTATTGGTAGAATTCCTTTAACATACAAACAACTATTTTTTAATCTTTAAAAAAATTCCTTAAACTATTATTATGTTTGGGAATTTCTAAGAGGAATTGAGTTTTTGCCACAACCTCAAATTTTCTAATCCCTATATCTTAGTTATCTCAAACATGTATTCAAATAATCAAAGTTTGAAATATTGGATTTATACACTATCAGGTTGCAAAGATAAAGGGATTTTAAATTTTAGTTTTAGGCAAAAACACAATTACTTTCTAGATAAATTATTTCTAGAACACGGTACAAGGTCAAGCAGTACAGTACAAATACAGACTATATGAGGGAAAACGGGACTGTACGCCAAATGATTGATCCCCTTCTAGTGAAATTCATGTGAGAAGGCACCTAATTAAACCTGATAGTGTAAAGATTAGATTATTTGATCCAACAGAATTTCTAGTTTGGAATATCTAAAGTCTTTGCAGGGGTTGGAAAGATAGGGAAAATTGAGTTTATTGCAAAGATTCAATTCCTTTACAATTTATAGAATTAATTTAAGGATGTCAGCAGAAAAGAGAAGTTTACAAATACCCCCCCCCCCAGTTATATTTATAGGACCCAGTATAAAGCATGTTTGTCAGAATTGAAACCTTGATAGAACTGTTAGAAGCAGGTGTTAGGATCATCCCTGATCATAGAGTAAAAAAGAGAACATACAGTGAGAATCAGAAAACATGTGAAGTAGGAATAAAGCACTTATGAAGTGTATAAGATGATGTTACAGAGAAAGTAGTTTTACCAGTAACATCAATTCACTTATTACGTGAAAAAGGTCTGTTTTTGGAATTGCTCCTACTCCATAATCTCTCTATGTCACTGATTCTACTCCATAATCTTCTCTATGGCACTGATTCTACTCCATTATCTTCTCTATGTGACTCAGCATACTCTATAATCTTATCCATGTGACTGAGCATACTCCATTATCTTCTCTATGTGACTGAGCATACTCTATAATCTTCTCTATGTGACTGAGCATACTCTATAATCTTCTCTATGTCACTAATTCTACTCCATTATCTTCTCTATGTGACTCAGCATACTCTATAATCTTCTCTATATCACTGATTCTACTCCATAATTTTCTTTATGTCTCTGATTTGCTCTATGTCGCTGATTCTAAAATCTGAATATTTGTAAACATTGTCCTCACAACCGCACTAAAGATTAGTCTAGACCCTAGTGCTGACAGAGAGCGATGAAACTAGTAAATTCAGGGATCTTTTCAAAATATCAAATATACAATGAAAAATATATATTTTTGGTTAGAGGGAATGTCTCTAGCGGAAAGGGGTTTCTAAAACCTATATCAATTACCAATCCAATGTCGTATACCTTAACTCTTGAAAACATGTATTCTATGATATCAAATAATTTAAAGATATAATATCAAAGATTTACTCTGTCAGGTTGCAAAGATATAGTTATTCGAAATTTGAGTTTGTGGCAAAGACCCAATCTCTTTCTAGATAATTTATCCAATTCAAGGGGCTTAATATTTCGATTCTTGTCTTTCCAAGAATAAAATTAGAATTATTACATAGCATCTCAGAAATAGTATTATTACATAGTATCTCATAAATAGAATTATTACATAGCATCTCAGAAATAGAATTATTACATAGCATCTCATAAATAGTAAGTTTCTTGTTTTTGAAACTCAACAGCTCTTGTTTTTAGTAATTGAAAAAATTCTCATCAAATGTAAATTTGAAAAAAATCTCATCAATTTTTGAGTGAGAGCTTTAAACTTTTAATCACTTGTCAATTACTGTCATAAGCAAGGTTTGCACAATCATTATTAGAAAACTAGCCTTCAAGGGTTGACCAGTTCTGAACCTATAGCCATTGGGGGCTTTGTCAGATCCCACACGTTTCACCCAAGTTTTATTTATCCTTTTATCTGATCTTTATCTTTATTTTAAGTTATAAAATAACAACGGTTTACACCATCAGGTTGCAAAGATAATAAGATTGAAAATTTGAGTCTCTAACATTTAGTCTGTAGATTACATCGGTCTGTAGTTTGTAGTCTGTAGTCTGTAGTTTGTAGTCTGTAGTCTGTAGTCTGTAGTCTGTAGTCTGTAGTCTGTAGTCTGTAGTCTGTAGTCTGTAGTCTGTAGTCTGTAGTCTGTAGTCTGTAGTCTGTAGTCTGTAGTCTGTAGTCTGTAGTCTGTAGTCTGTAGTCTGTAGTCTGTAGTCTGTAGTCTGTAGTCTGTAGTCTGTAGTCTGTAGTCTGTAGTCTGTAGTCTGTAGTCTGTAGTCTNGGTTATAGTACAGGGTGCCCCACCACTCAACAGGTTATAGTACAGGGTGTCCCACCAGGTTAAAGTACAGGGTGTCCTATCAGGTTAAAGTAGAGGGTGTCCTACCAGGTTTTAGTACAGGGTGTCCCACCATGTTATAGTACAGGGTGTCCCACCAGATTATAGTACAGGGTGTCCCACCAGGTTATAGTTCAGGGTGTCCCACCAGGTTATAGTACAGGGTATCCCACCAGGTTATAGTAATGGGTGTCTCATTAGGATATAGTACAGGGTATCCCACCAGGTTATAGTTCAGGGTGTCCCATCAGAATATAGTACACGGTGTCCCACCAGAATATAGTACAGGGTGTCCCACCAGGATAGAGTACAGGGTGTCCCACCAGGATATAGTGTGTCCCACCAGGTTTTAGTGCAGGGTGTCCCAACAGGATATAATATAGGGTGTCCCAGCAGGTTATAGTGCAGGGTGTACCAACAGGATATAGTACAGGGTTTCCCACCAGGTTATAGTGCAGGGTGTCCAAACAGGTTATAGTGCAGGGTGTCCCACCAGGTTATAGTGCAGGGTGTCCCACCAGGTTATAGTACAGGGTGTCCCACCAGGTAATAGTGCAGGGTGTCCCACCAGGCTATGGTACAGGGTGTCCCACCAGGATATAGAACAGGGTGTCCAACAGGTTATATTGCAGGGTGTCCCACGAGGTTAAAGTGCTTGATGTCCTAATACTTATTGAAAGTTAATGAATGACTGAGAGCTTTAGATTTTTGTATGAAAAAAAAAACAAAAGAGCTGAAGTTGCTTTTGGCCTGTACATTTTTTTCCCTTAACTGTAGTCGTACTTTATATTAAACTTTTCATTTGAGGTATATCTTGCAATAATATGCTACAGGACTAGGAGTCAAATAAGTATTTTTAATTATTTTGACTGAGAGCCAAAATCTCCGCTTTCGAATTCTAAAATTAATTAATACTTGAATTTACAATTCAGATGCATTTATGGTGTACAATTCTAGATTCTAGAACTGTTCCTGCATATTGATAGCTATTTATTCATTTTTACAATGTCGAGACAACATTTTATTAATCCGTTCAATGTCTCCGAAATACTGGGTTAACTGTATGTACTATCCCCCTTAAATAATATTTAGAATAAAAGGAAAAATAAAAAGTGCAGAAAATATATTGAAATCTTTGATATTACCATAATTAGCAATTCAATCACATAAAGTTTACAGTTTCAAATATTCAAAGTTAACATGCTGCTAATATATTTTAAAGTAAGGATTAGAAAATTTGAATATATACGTAGGATGTCTTCAATATTAATTAGATTTTTACTAGGAAAATATTATCAAAGATCTTAATTAATTTATTTGAAAGGGCTGTAAAATTTCACACTGAGCTTTTATTTTCAGGTCTTTGTTTTCTTAGTAATAGGAATTTTAATAAATATTTTCAAATTTTTAATTACAAAGATTACAATTTGTGTTCCAAATGTGGGGATAAAATTAGGGATGGAAAAAATAAAAAATAAAAAAATACTTTTAAGATTTGAACTTAAAACTTTTATTAAATTTTATATTAAAGAATTGGTCCTTTGCCGCAAACAAAAATTTTCTTGGCCCTTTCTTTTATCAACCTTTTAGTGTAAGCCAATTCAACCCCTATATGTTAGATAAACAGAGCATATTTATAAATCTAACTGATATTTCACGGTAATTAAAATGTCCCGGTTGGACATTAAAGATAGAAAATTATACATATTTCAATTTATCTTTAAAGGTTGTTGAGAAAAAGTTAAAACCCTAATTCTGATGTAGACCAGGACACACTCAACTCTATTGAGTTTCTGATGTAAATCCGGACATACTAATCTATGGTTAATTCAGCGTGCTGATGTCGACTCAGACACTCTAAACTCTATTTAGTTTCTGATATTGCCCAGGACATACTAAACTATATTTAATTTAGCGTGCTGGCGAGTATATGACCAACATTTTACTGGATAAACATCAAGGATGAATCTGTTAAAATGTGTGTTTGTAATCTAGGAGATAAACATATCTGGGATACTCATTCCTTACCTTTCATCATATCCCTGTAATATAATAATAAAAACTCTGGGTGCTCTGCGTATCTTTTACATAACGTTAATAGTTTACACACCCTATTATAACATAATAATAACTCTGGATATGTTCTCGCCCCTTTTACATAACGTTAATAGTTTACACACCCTGTTATATCATAATAATAACTCTGGATATGTTCTCGCCCCTTTTACACAACCTTTATTTCAGTTTATAGGATTTTTCAAAAATCGATTAATATATTTGGCTTGTCAATTACTGTTCGTATCATGCAACGATTTTAACGGGGTGATATCTTTTCGTTAACGTGACCCATCATTTTAAGAAGGGTATGGCCTATTCATCACGGTATCTTTAAAACTTTTATCTGATCAAAAATACGTAACATAACATACTCTTTCTAGCTTGAAGTGTTTAATTCTTATGAAATGTGTAAGTTATTTTTGAAAGGGAAACCACAAATGAAATAATCAGTTTTCAAAGACAAAAACATGGATATCTATTTTATACTTGATTAAACAAAGCTATTAAAGGGAAAATGAAAGGGGGTATAGGCTGAAACCTGAGAATCTCAAGAGTTGATTGAGATCTATAAGAGTTCTATCTGATGTTCCTGTCTCGAGAAATTGATAAAAAAAAAACTGTGTAGAGAGTAATACATTAATTTATTTAGAGTTTTTTCAGGATAGAAGTAGAAGAGAATCCCCAGTGCAGTACAATACTCAGAATCCATTGTTTACTAAAACAAGATTTAGATCAGATGATGGCATTCCAATCCTCAACCAAAAATATAAGGTGAAACATAGATAGGATACAGGAATACATTACTAACTAGGATACAGGCTTACACACATACATTAAAACTAGGATACAGGGATACAAGGATACATTAAAACTAGGATACAGGGATACAAGGATACATTAATAACTGGGATATATGGATACACGGATACAAGGATATAAGGTGAAACAATGATGGGATACAGTGATACATTAATAACTAGGATACAGGGATACAAGGATACATTAAAACTAGGATACAGGGATACAAGGATACATTAAAAACTAGGATAAAGGGATACAAGGATACATTAAAACTAGGATATATGGGTGCAAGGATACATTAATAACTAGGATATATGGGTATAAGGATGCATTAATAACTGGGATATATGGATACAAGGATACATTAAGAACTGGGATATAGGGATACAGGGATATAAGGATTTGTGATTCATTAATAACTGGGATATATAGATATAAGGATTAGGGATTCATGGACACTGGGATACAGTGAGACGGGTGTTAGAGGGAATAGGGATACAGAAATACAGGGGGATACGGATACACGGATACAAAAAAACAGAGACATAGTAAAAGAGGGATACGAATATATAGGAAAACATGGGTGTGGGTAACTGAGATCCAGGCATCTATGAAAATTATAAACCTAATTTATTCCGGGATTTAGAATTGGATATCTTTAATCTCGATTATTTAATCTCAATATCAAATGTGGACACTTTTAATTTCCTTCTTAATCCGGTCTTTTGCTTTCTTTTTCTCTCCCCGCCAGTTTCCAATAAGCGTTCACTCATTAATTGGCGCGCAAAATATCACATTTCTCGGCTTCTCTGATTGGTTGTGAGGGTTTAACCAAACCCCACTCGATTAGTAAAGTTAAACACTCTTGTTGATACAAACTTAAGATTAAATAAATCTAGAAATATAAAAAGAGAAGATCAAGCATTGATCTCCACTCGATATCCATATTTCTAAAGTTTTCAGCCCAGAAAGGAATTAAAAGTATAGAATTTCAAAAACATGTTTTTATCTCAATTCTTCGAAATTTGAGAAGCTTAAGGCTGAAAAATATAAAATTTTAATATGAAATTTAGTGTCTTTAGGCTGTAGAGTGAGGCCCAAAAAACAGTGGAAAAGGAAGACGAATTTTAGAGTCACCGGACTACTTACCGTAGAAGTTGCTTTTTAGTATAACTGTTTGCCTTGTTATAGCAACACGAAATACTCATAAGATTTCTTTAATGTCGTCTTCCTATTCCACAGTTTTAGGCTAACAATCGTTTTGGTTCGTTTTTTAAAAAAATTAATGAAACAACATTTTAATTTTAATTCTGTGAAAGTTTGCTTTTATCAACTTTGTAATATTTTCATCTTAAGCGCAATAATAGAAAAACGAACCAAAAAAACGATAGTTTTAACACGTTCATTTTTTGTTTCGTTTTTTGTTTCTTTGATTGCATATATTTTCTCTGAGGTCTAAATTTGGCTTAGTATAAGAAAATCAAACATTTAGAATAAACAATGTTGAAAATAGAACTTCTCATATTTTTTTGAAACAGATTTTTAAGTCCAAAAACCCTGAAACCAACCCAAAAAAACGAAATATTTCTGGTTACCTCTGTATTCTTCAGAATTCTGTAAATGTTTACGAGGAGGTTGAAAAGGAAGGAGATGCTCAGGGGTTCAAGGTTTACAATGCATGGTTCAACCATAAGGTGACAAACATCACTTAAAGGGAGTGTTCGCGAAAAATGAAAGGGGGTATAGGCTTAATGCGATAAAAAAGCGTTTTCGAGGATTTTTGGTAATGAAGACGACATTTTCATATTTTCCAGGAATGTTCGAAAACAAGTTGTAAGCTAAATATTATTTAAAAAAACAAAATCAAAACTAGTATGAAATATCAAATATATACAAGTGTGGCGAAAGATAATCGATGACTATAGGTTGTAATATCTGAATGATTTGTTTGAAATTAAATTGATTTTTTTACGGTCTAAGTCGTATGTTCCAATTTCCTCAATTTGTATGGGCGCTACGCTCTTCGGTATGAGACGTCTTTATCAATTTTCTCCTTATAGACGCAACAGATAGAAGTAAGATTAGTAGCGGTCAAAAGCGCTTTTTTATCGCATTAAGCCTATACCCCCTTTCATTTTTCGCGAACACTCCCTTTAAAGGGAGTGTTCTGGAAAAATAAAAGGGGTATTGTCCGAAATAAATTTGCTGCAAATTTTTGTTTCTATCTAAAGCGTTTCTAATAACTAATAATAAATTTCCTAAATCAAGGAACAGTAGAAACATCTGAGTTTGAAGCGAGAGATATGTTCCTCAAACAAAATATTCCATTTAACCTATTCTACAAAACTTGCAACGTCTCATTGCAATTTTAAATATTCTTAGATTAAAGGAAAGTAGTATTTAAACTTTATATAATTCATAAAGCAATTTGCAAATTACTTTTATATAACTATACATTTTAGATTTTATATAAGTGTGAGATATTTGAAAAATATTCTATATAAGAACAATTTCAGCGTGAGAAGGATTTAAAGATATATTTCAGCGTGAGAAGGATATAAAGATATATTTCAGCGTGAGAAGGATATAAAGATATATTTCAGCGTGAGAAGGATATAAAGAATGACCCTAGGGTTGTGTGGTCCCATCCAACAGATTCTCCAGTAAGACCATATCACAGGTAAATTGGAGATTCTACATATTTATTCTTTTTTTAATATTTGAACTTTTTACATTTTAAATCGGTGTGTCACTGTAGAGGTCACAACTTATGCATGTTTTAAAGAAATTGAGTCTTTGGCAACAACTGATGGTGTAAATCTTTCATATTTCAAACTTGGATTATTTGATCTATAATGTCTACGACATTGAATTGCAAAGATATTGCAAAATTTTCGCCTCACATTTCATGATTTCATCTAGAGATTTAATTCTAATATTCTAATAATAAATCGAAATAGTTTAAAAGATCACATGATTTTTGCGTGTTTTATATAAAGCTCTATGACAGGTGTTCATCTCATTTTCTTTGGATAACCCTGTATTTGCAAGGAACATGTTTTGCAAAGGGTTGGGTAATTTGTCAAATATATATCTCTGATCCTCAAATCCAAAAAACATCACTTTTGTTGGAAACGAACCATTCTCAAGGTTCACATACGCTCCTGTTAACCAAACCATTCTCAAGGTTCACATACGCTCCTGTTAACCAAACCATTCTCAAGGTTCACATACGCTCCTGTTAACCAAACCATTCTCAAGGTTCACATACGCTCCTGTTAACCAAAATGTACAAATCTTTAAGTCAAATGTTTATTTAGAAACCCGGTTTTTATCGAGTAGCTTTTTTATATTTTCCCTAACGAATAAGGAAGTAAATATTTAATAAAAAGAAACAAGTCTCTGAAAATGTCAATACAAGAAAACACCTGTTTTTCCGGAAGACTTTAGGTATTTACGTATCATCCCAGATTTGGGTAGATTTAGACAGGATATGAGCAATAATATAAAATGTATACTGTTATCTCTTTTTGATTATATATATACATATAATAAACATGGGAATTAAGGGACGGTTTTCAAATCGTCTTTGTTCCGCGTGGCATTATTACTTGAACACAAATTTTGCGGCATTACAGTTAAAACAGTTAATAATTTGAACTGCTAGTCTTGGGAATTCCAAAATGTGGTTTACTAAATTTGCACCTTCAAAATTGACGGAGATATTAAGAAATCTGTCCAGATTTTATTTATTATATATCAACAAAATCTTTCAAATGTTTAATATCTCTGTTTATTTTGAAGATATAAAAACCTCATGAGACGACCAGTCTTTATATTGTGCACTCTCTCTTATTCATCAACTATCGGAAATCGAAGACGATTTCAAGTGACTGTAAAAATATTTAGCTGACTTAACTAAGTATTCAGAAAAACTACTCATAGGATATATATCAAAAATTTTACGTAAATGCTTATAAAATATATTCATATTATTTTAATGACGTTTACTAATGTATAGACGACGTTATTATTTCTTGTCAGCTGCTTGGTCTAGTATGGAAGAGGAGGAAGAGAAAGATGAAATTATTATTTCTAGAAAGTCAGCTGCTTGGTCGAGATAAAGACGACATTATTATTTCTAGAAAATCAGCTGCTTTGTCTAGTATAGGAGATGAAGAAGAAAAAGACGACTTTATTATTTCTAGAAAGTCAGCTGCTTGGTCTAGTATAGGAAATAATTAAGATAAAGACGACATTTTTATTTCTGGAAAGTCAGCTGCTTGGTCTAGTATGGGAGAGGAGAAAGAGAAAGATGAAATTTTTATTTCTAGAAAGTCAGTTGCTTGGTCTAGTACAGGAGATGAAGAAGATAAAGACGACATTATTATTTCTAGAAAGTCAGCTGCCTGGTCTATTATAGGAGAGGAGGAAGATAAAGACGACATTTTTATTTCTAGAAAGTCAGCTGCTTGGTCTAGTATAGGAGATGAAGATGATGAAGACGACATTGAATTTAAAACCTATGGCAACTCCCTCAACAAAGACAAGGTTGAGTAAACTCAAGAAAGTCGTCTTTAACACACTAAAAATTGACTTAAACTTGTATTACTAAAATAGATTCTAATTCATCCCAAATTTATAATTAGTCAGAATTTAACCCAAAAAATCTAAAATATTTTATTTTCCTAGATGAAAAGAATCAAGACAAACTCACATTTCAACTCAATCAACCTTCTCAGAAATAGGGTCAAGGTCACAGATGCAAAGGTAATATTAGGTCAAGATCACAGACGCAAAGGTAATAATAGGTCAAGGTCACAGACGCAAAGGTAATATTAGGTCAAGATCACAGACGCAAAGGTAATATTAGGTCAAGATCACAGACGCAAAGGTAATATTTGGTCAAGGTCACAGACGCAAAGGTAATATTAGGTTAAGATCACAGATGCAAAGGTGATATTAGGTCAAGATCACAGATGCAACGGTGATATTAGGTCAAGGTCACAGATGCAAAAATAATATTAGGTGAAGGTCACAGATGCAAAGGTAATATCAGGTCAAGGTCACAGACAGACTCACATATAATATCAGATCATAGTCAAAGACGCAAAGGAAAAATTAGGCCATGGTTACAGACGCAAAGGCAATAATACTAGGTTAAATTCACAGACAGAAGGGTAATATTAGGTCAAGGTCACAGACGCAAAGGAAACATCAGGTCAAGGTCACAAAATCAGTGGTAATAATATAGGTCAAGGTCAAAGACTTACACGTTATATTAGACCATGGTCAAAGACACAAAAGTAAAATCAGGCCATGGTCACAGTCGCAAAGGCATAATGCTAGGTTAAGGTCACAGACGCAAAGGTAATAAGTGGTTAAATTCACAGACGCAAAGGTAATATGCGGTTAAGGTCACAGACACAAAGATTGAATTTTTTCGAGTTAACAGACTTAAATGAAGGTCGAGACTGATGCAAATAAACCAGGCAAAGGTCTTAGAAATACCCAGTTGATTATGTGTTTCCCAGGGGGGATGTTAGTTTCCCACCTGTGTGCTCAGTTACCTGCAACTGTACAATTAAAACTGTTTACTAATAATGATATACTATAGGTTAGGCCAGAATCTCCTTATAATAAACACATATGCAGTTAGGCCAGAATCAACTTATAATAAACAAATATGCAGTTAGGCCAGAATCAACTTATAATAAACAAATATGCAGTACGCTCTCGGTATAGTTTATGGCCTATAAAATTAGTAAAGGATTAGCGTACATCATTACTCTATACACTAAAACCTCGTTGGTAATATCACATCAGAGCTTTAGTCCTTTCCCTTCAACTTCTGGGGGGGCACTGGGTTTGTTTACTCCTCCCAGCTAGAGATGTCAATGTTTTGATTTTTCTAGATTTTAGCTTTCGTTACGATAGTGTTCATCAAAAGTATTAACGTTAGAAACGTTACGTTGCACATTATCAAATTTTATGGCATAGAGTAACGTTACGTAGTGAATTTTCTGCACTTGAATACCTTATACAACGTTAAGCTTTAGTAAATGTTAGTGAAAAAACAGTAAGCTCCGTTACGCTTTTGCATTTCCCGTTTTAAAAACTTTCCCAACGTTGCGTTAAAGCTTATGTAATATAACCACAATTTTTTAACGTTCCACTTTCATGCAAGGTAAATATTTTCAGAGACCTTACGTTACACTTTCACTTGGTTTAAGATCTAAAAGATGACAAACGTTTTGCTTTAATAAAACGTCATTGAGGCATAGTTATGTACGTTACAATGCATTTCAGTGCAAAGAATTTTTTTTTAACGTTACGTTTTATCTTAACTTTTCCAACATAAACTCTTTTAATTACGTTTAGAAATTTTACTAAAATGCACCTTTTCTTACGTTACGATTTATCGAAACGTTATTGTGAAAACTTTTTTGTTACACTTTTTTACAACTGACAATCAAAACTGTTTATTTGTTTCGTTTCTATAAGAAAGATTTGAAAAAATGTTCTATACGTTGCGTTGTAATAAAATGTTCAAGCCTTAAAGTTTCTAACGTTACGTTTTATTAAAATAATATTGTTTCTAAATGAAAGCATTGCGAGAATTTTTCCGTGATAAGTACATTTTTTTACTCACCCTGTATGTTGCTGTTGTATTGTTAACCTTTTTAGAGAATGTGTAAAAGAATGCATTATGAAAGTTTTTAGCATTAGACTTTCAACTCAAAGTGTGTCTTTAAGGGACTAGAGACGTAATTTCAAGTGACCTTCCATTTATGGAGTGGAATGTCCAGTAGGGGTGATCAATATTGGAATAGAGCCAACCGCCCAATGTCTCAATGTCAATAAATAAACTCTTTTAAACAAAATATTAGAAATTTTATTTTTTATTCATCTTCATAATATCATGATGAGGCCGAGGGACAAGAAGCCTTGATTTTAAATAATGAATTTTTTCCTTACGCTAAAGTACCACTTTAGATCGTTTTTAAAGTACCATTCATTTATTTTTTATGTATATTGTATATGTAAACTGAAAAGTTTCAGACACTAAAATCAAAATGTAACCCTTAAAAGCTTAAATACACTTGCTAAAAAGATTAGTCTTTATAGCCTACATTGACAATGTAATAAAGAAAACCATATACCACCGTAAAAACAAACCAAGCATTGCTTTAAAAAAAAAAAAAAAATCCTGGTTACGGGCCTGCCCTTAACGTCCAGCATACATTTACAAGATAGGAAAACACTCCTAATTTTCAAATCATCAATCAGATAAAGGTATGCACGTTATTATTGGGAATCGAGCATGGCCCTCTTTAAATGGAGGATCACTTGAAATTATCATCGTGTATTTGACGAGCTTAAAAAATAGACATGTTTTGGGACACTTCATAAAATGAGTTAAAATTCGGCAAGGCAAACCACTTTTGCATGTTGAGCAGTAGTTCTAAATTATTTTAGATTAGTTTAGGGTTAATTTTTTCTTTTTTTACGCAATGCAGACTATCTAACAGAATTCATAGTTTAAAATATCTAAGGTCTACAACATTGGGTAGCAAAGATATAGGGATTAGAAATATAAGTTTGTGAACAACTCAATTCCTTTAGACATTATTATCTAACAGAAGTCATAGCTTGAAATATCAAAAGTCTACAACACCAGCTTGCAAAGATGTAGAGATTAGAAAATTATAATTTATGGCGAATTTTTAGTTCTTTTTGTGTTTATTTGTATGTTACTTACAAAGTGAGTAAAAAAGCGGCATTAGCTTTAGTTTACAAACCACTTTGAAAATGTTTTCAGAGTTCATGTTTGGGGTTAAAAAATATCAAATACAGTAAGACAAGTGCTAAATTTTTTTTAACACAAACAGCGCGAAATAAAATTATTTAACATTTGTTTCTTTTTAAAAAAATCGATTAAAAAAATATTAAAAAAGTATTCAAATAAACATGAAACCCAGCAATTGTGTTTGTTCACAGACCCGTTCCACTAAATAAGTTCATTTTTTGCAATTAGTAAATCATTTGCTTTATAACAGAAAATGCATATGTAAAATTTCTTAATGCCGCCTTCCTTTTCCAGAGTTTTAGTGGGTTTCATCAAACAATGGCAAATCAAAAACCTTTAATGTCCAAGAAACATTTATAAGATTTGAATTTTCACAAATACAGTGAAACTCTTAATAACGAATACATCGGAAGAAGTAAATTTCAGTATTTGCGAAAATAAATAAATAGCCATGAATATGCAGGAACAGTTTTAAAAAGTTCCATATAATCATTTAATTAAAAACTAAATATATGCAACATTCCATTATCAGAAAGTGAAGAATTCGACATTTGATGAATTCTTTCGATATATTCGTTATTAAGGGTTTCACTGTAGCATGTTACAAAAAAACTCGTTTACACTTTAGAATGGAATTAAGTTTTTTTTTTCAAATTTACTAATCCATATATCTTTCCAACCTGATGGTTTAAACCTTGTATATTTCAGTATTAATGGTCTACGACATCGGGTTGCAAAGATATATTAAATGACAATTAGCTAGAGTTTTTGGCATAAACTCATTTTCTTTAAACTTGAAATGAAAAACCATAAGTCTTTGCTCTTATATCATCAGTCGAATCTCTTACATTGATATATTAGAGACGTTTTGAAATGTTTTGATTGACAGAATTATTGTTACGCTTTTGAAATTAAAACTCAGCCCCCATAGTCTAACGTTTTATGAACAACATTTTCATCAGACATATATCTAACGTTAGACTTATCAATTTAGTAATCAGAGAAAAGTTATGAAACGTTTTGATTTTTTTAAATGTTACATGTTACATTATTGAAATTTTACTCTGTAAAAAAACTTTCGTTTCCTGATTATTAAAATAATAACCCATTTCTGCAACGTTGAATTTTTAATTATACTATAAGGAAAAACGTTTCAAAACGTTTTCATAAACAGTAATGCATTTTTCAGATATACAACGTTACAATTTTTATAAGTTGAACTTTGAAATAGAAATCCTTTCGTTACGATATTCAATCAAATCACAATTCATTTTTCAAACGTTAGACTTTCAAGCTCCCCTTGGAAACAAAACATTTCTGTACGTTATGGTAAAAAAAGTTGTAGATATTAGAAAAATAAAGTTACATTTCCACAAAACGTATGTTCCTCTAACGTTAACGTTTAACGTTAACGTTAGGTATGAGCTCCTATAATGTTAACGTTTAACGTTCACGTCATAGAATATATCCAAACGTTACACATTACTGTAACGTAACGTACAAAAACGTACATTTTACGTTACGTTACACTATCGTTGACATCTCTACCTCCCACAGTGTGCAGTACATAATATGCGTCTGAGTTGGGCGTTCCTGTATATAGTTCCTTGGCCTATACAATTAGTAAAGGATTAGCGTTCATCATGACACTATACACAATAACCTCATTGGTGTTTCCTTTTAAAGAATTATTCTAGCAATTAATTTTATTAACTTTAAAATTAACTCATTAACTTTAAAATTTCAAAATATGATATTTGTTTCACACGGTAATTGTAAATTTAATATATTTAGTATTAAATTTCTTATTAAGTAGATCTGTGATTCATCGTAAAATAAATATGCAATATGTTTGGTTCCCCGGGGGGGGGGGGGGGGTTGATTTTAAAATGTTCCCTTGAACAACTTAGTTTTCAATTAAAGAATAACCGAAAAAACTTACATTTTTGTTGTATTTTTTTTAACCTACGAACAAAAACTGCCTACTTCAGGCCACAAGTACAAATATGGAACAATCTCCTGCTGGTGGTTTTAAAAATGCAAAAATACTGTTTTTGATAAAAACGTTTTCAATCTTTCATTTGTTTTGATTGTATCTTTATTCAATTTACAGGAATACCAGGCCTCAATTGCAACAGCAACACAATCTACATCAACAACAACAACAACAACAACAGCATCAACAACAACAACAACAACAACAACATCTTCAACAACAAGCGATGTTTTCACAAGTGTTGCTTCACAGCAAGTTATAAGGTATTCAATTATATTACAATTAATGATCTAAATTTTTCAGGAAAAATCCAGATCTATTTATAAAGTTAAGATATTAAGAATGAATGTGCTCACAGGATACTCTCTGCGTCATACTTATTTTTTGTAGGACCTCACATGATCCCAGGGAAAGTATATAAATTCTCATAAATGCAAAGAGTTGTCTCCAAAAATTTTAGCTTTTCGTAAAATTTTGCAAATACACGAAAACAATATTGTAAATCCGCAAAATATTTGGTTTTTGTTTCATCGAAGCGAAAATCCTCAAATAATTGAGCAACAATTAAAATTTGAAATAGAAAAGGGGCGCGAAGCCTAGCCTAGAAATCTTAAATTGTTGCTAATCTTTCTTCAAGCCTTACGTACATTTTATGACACACCCATAATGAGAATTTGGTGAGAAGAATTGTGTGAATTCCGTATAGTCGTCTCTGAATTCTCATCCTTTGTCGGTAGCAGTGTATAAAGAAAAATTTTCTAAAGTTTTTTAAGTTCTCATTTGCGGATTTTTAAAAAAAATTATTTTAATTATTTTGAGGCAAAATGATAAAAATGAGTGGAATTTTCCAATGTTCATTGTTCAGAGAACGTGGATATAGGAACAGAGCTGGGTTAAGATCTCATTCATCCAGATCTAATGGCAGACATAGCAGACAAAGGTAAAACAGTTTGCAAACCTAGCAGACAAAGGTTAAACAGTTTGCAGACATAGCAGACAAAGGTAAAACAGTTTTCAGGCATAGCAGACAAAGGTAAAACAGTTTGCGACATATCAGACAAAAACAGAGTTGTCTAGTTTTTTAGCCTTCTACCTTTCTAGGTTTCTAGTTTTCTAGTTTTCTGGTTTTCTAGTTTTCTAGTTTTCTAGTTTTCTAGTTTTCTAGTTTTCTAGTTTTCTAGTGTTTTAGTTTTCTAGTTTTCTATTTTCTAGTAATAAAGTTTTCTAGTTTTCAAGTTTTCGAGTTTTCTAGATTTCTAGTCTTCTAGTTTTCTATTTTCTAGCCATAAAGTTTTCTAGTTTTCTAAGTTTCAAGTTTTCTGTGAAAATTATGAAAATTTTCTAGGATTGAGATTGCAATGGAATGAATTTAGATTGTATACTTTAATATGGATTTAGAAGGAGAGATAGAGAATTTTAAGAGAATAAATCAAGTTTTGTATACTTTAATCCAGCGGAAAAATAAATTTGTCGTTTCACCACAGTGCATCATTAAAGGGCCAAGCTTAATATATCACCCAATATTTCAGAAGTCGAGAAGTTTTGAAATTTTGCGCGCAATCAATGGGAGAACTTTTATTGGAAGGAATCCAGCAGAAATACCTAACAGAGAGGATTAAGAAGAAACTAAAAAGTAGATACAGAGTTTTACCTGTCTGGATTAAGGATCTCCAATACAGAGTTTTCAGCTCTGAATATTTTTAGAATTATTTTAGGTTCAATCTTAGCAAAGTACGAAACTCCTAGCAACATTTCTTTAGCTAAAGAAAGAAAGAAGGGTACAGTCACTCCATAGTTTATAGATTATAGACAAATTAGAAAACCAACCTTAGAAAAAGTTGATTGCTCAGACCTGGCACATAAATTTCCCAAGAAGGGTTCATTTGGCGTACCGTCCTGTTTTGCCTTATTCATAGTCTGTGGGTGAACACTAACAGTGTTGTTTACAGGTTGCTCTAAAACTCCTTGAAAATCGGCCCGGTACATGAAATGAACCGGAAGTAAACAAATCTTTTCCCCCCTTTACTTAGTTTTCTTCTTCTTGATTTTTCTATGCATTCGTTAACCTTTAGCTTTTCACAAAATTGGAAATTAGAATCGACGAATAATCTATTTTCGGACATAAATATTTACAACTTTTACGATGTTGACGTCACATTCATGTTGAAAACTTTAAAATTTTGTACCTAGAGGTCATAGTTCTGGGAGAGAAGGTAGAAGAGGCGAACTTAGCGGTCTTCTAGCTGTACATATGCAGGTAATGCAGTGTACATATAAAGGTACTGCAGTGTATATATACAGGTACTACAGTGTACATCTACAGATACTGCAGTGTACATATACAGGTAATGCAGTGTACATATAAAGGTACTGCAGTGTACATATACATGTACTACAATTTACATATACAGGTACTGCAGTGTACATATACACGTACTACAGTGTACAATACAGATATTGCAGTGTACATATACGGAAACTGCAGAGTGCATATACAGGAACTGCCGTGTACATATACATGTTCTGCAGTGTACATATACAGGTACTATACAGTGAACATATACATACATGGGTACTGTAGAGCACACATAAAGGTACCACAGTGTACATACACAGGTACTGCGGTATACATATACAGGAACTATACAGTGTACATATACATACATAGGTACTGCAGATCACATATACAGGTACTACAGTGGACATATACAGGTAACACAGTGTACATACACAGGTTCTTCAGTGTACATACACAGGTACTGCGGTATGCATATACAGTTTACATTACAGGTACATACAATTTATGAGCTGTACATTTACAATAAAGTATATAAAATATATAAAACTTTACATATACACACACATGTTAATAACACCCGATACTGAATGTTGTCTCGTAGTTTTGTAGATACCAATATCTTTGTTTCTTTACATTTTATTTTTGTTTTCTGATTTCTTGAATTGAAATATACCCAAATGTACAGACCCCCAAAAGGAAACTTGGGAGTTTCGTTCAACTGTGCTTATGTACACGTAAACTGTAAACTGTAAACTGTAAACTGTAAACTGTAAACTGTAAACTGTACTGTACTGTGAACTGTGTACGGGCTGAACCAGTTTTAAAATATATTGCTTATGTACAATGAACACTGTAAACTGTAAACTGTACTGTACTGTAAAGTATATAAGCTTTATAGGCTAAACCGTATGCAAAATATATTTTTTGCGTAAACTGTCCTCTACTGTAAATTGTATACACTGTACAGGCTGAACCGGATGCAAAATCAATTGTTTATGCACACTATAAACTATAAACTGTATGTACTATATTGCAATGTAAACTGTATGCACTGTACAGGCTGAACCGGATGTTGAAGATTCAGCTGCTGATGGAATATTCAGGGATTAATCAACTCTCAAAATGTTTGTCCCAATTTCAGAATTAGGAAATTTATAAAAAAAAATTCATATATATATTTACATATTTTAATTATATTAGATGAGTATATAACTACAATCTGGGACAAGATTTAATGAAAAGCGAGATATGGTAGAACCGGGTAGATGTGGTTCAACTGCTTCTCTTCAGCTTGAATCGACACACAAAAGAATCTGCTTTGTTAGCCACTTTTTACTTTTTATTGTGCACTTAATTTTATCCAAAACACATTTCTAAGTAAAAAATAGGAACATAGAAAACAATTAAGCACTAATATCGTGAGATACAACATTTTGGAAAATAAAAGGGGAAAAAATAAACAGAAAGAGAATTTTTTATTTTCATCAGATTCTTTAACAAAACAAAAAAAAATCACCCAAAAAATAGCAAGAACTCGATCTGAAATTTGTTCCCGCATTTTAGACCAGAACTCTAAAATTATAAATGTAACGTATTACGTATTCTACTTAGTCAGGAAAAATATCCTCTGATTAACCTGGTAATTGGTACATGAATAGATACAGTACAGGGTGTACCACCCAAACATGAAAAATATCCTCTGATTAACCTGGTAGTTGGTACATGAATAGATACAGTACAGGGTGTACCACCCAAACATGAAAAATATCCTCTGATTAACCTGGTAGCTGGTACATGAATAAATACAGTACAGGGTGTACCACCTAAATTTGAAAAATATCCTCTGATTAACCTTGTAGTTGGTACATGAATAGATACAGTACAGGGTGTACCACCTAAACATGAAAAATATCCTCTGATTAACCGGGTAGTTGGTACATGAATAAATACAGTACAGGGTGTATCACCTAAACATGAAAAATATCCTCTGATTAACCTGGTAGTTGGTACATGAATAAATACAGTACAGGGTGTACCACCTAAATTTGAAAAATATCCTCTGATTAACCTTGTAGTTGGTACATGAATAGATACAGTACAGGGTGTACCACCTAAACATGAAGAATATCCTCGATTAACCTATTATTCTATCTGTGAAGGGGAGTGCCCGGCAATGTATGGTAGTTGAACTGAGAATGTAGTATTGTGAAGAAATATTTTACGAATCATTTGAGACCTATGAGATGTTTTACGCTGCATATTTGCTGAGCAAGATCGCAAGTTCAATTTTTAAAAACCTCATAGATTGTTTATTTTGGAGGAATGATTATTTTGAGAATCTGTTTAAAAAATTTTCATAAACGACGACGAAAAATGTAGTAAACATTCTACAGTAAACTAATTAGTTGCTAAGGAACAGGCTGAGAAAAAAAAAATTACTGTTATCATTGAAAATAAGTAATCTTATTCAATAATTAGTTTCTGTAATGTCTTACTCTTCACAAACATTTTTTGAAAAGACAAAATTTAAAGAATATGAAGAAATCTGCGAACAAATTCATAGAAAATAAGAAATTCAATTTAATGATGAAAAAGAAATAATTGATTCTAACATTTATTTAATGAGAAAATTTAATTAAAACATTTAACTAGTTTAATTTAGATTTTTTAATCCAGTCGTCGTTATTTAATATTTTTTTTAAAAATCCATTGTCAAAACGTAACCAACCAAACAGATGATTTTAAACGTCGACTTTGCGCTAAAACTCAGTTATTATACATTATTAACACGTTTTATGCGTCTTAAATGAATCCTAAAAAAATTCTCCACAATACTACATTCTCTATTCAATCACCATACATTGCCGGTCACTCCCTTTAACTCGTGTTAAAAAGCTTATTTCCCCTATATCCGTGGTTTACCTCCTCAAGAACTTATTAGCCATGTAACCCTCGTTTTACACACTATGTCCTTAAACATATATCAAAGATAAAAGACGACTTTTTAGTCGTTTCTGATGTGTCATGTTTAGTAGGAATTAATAATAATTGTTGACATCTTTTCTTGATGATTAAATCTTCCATTTTGATTAAATGATTTGTCAGAAACTGGAGTATGGCCAGGTAATTGATTGGATTTACATATAAAAACTGATTTGTATATCCATAGATTAAAAACAACACAGATAACCCTAAGGAAGAAGCCCAAAGGAGTTGCGCAAAGGCAGCGTTGAATTACAAGACAAAACTGCGTGGAACTCCTTTGGGCTTCTGCCCTAAGGTTATTAGGAACGAAAAACCCCTAAATCTTGAAAATACTACATCTAGTGTTCTATCTGGGTTGTTATTAATCTTTGAGTATTTCGATCTGGAAATTTCCGTAACAAAATTGATTGTGTCGAATTGTTTAAATTAACCCACAAAGGTAATTTTTTTAAACAATTTTTTAAATGATTTTTTTCTGAATATAGGAAACAAGTGAAAATTTGGATGAAAACTATGAAAAAGTAACCAGATGATCTCAACTTTGTTATTCGTTGATTTAATTAAAATTTTTGTTTTTTTCCGTGGAATTGCATGAAACAGACCGACATTTTTAATCACATATCTTTGCAACCTCATGGTATAAACCTAAGAAATTTAATATTATCTATGACATTTGGTTACAACTTACAAAGATTTGAAAATCATAGTTTGTGGAATCTGAGAATAATTTTATAAAAAGTTACGATATCAAGAAAAAAAAAGATTATTTCAAGATTTCTTTTAACCAATATTTTAGCAGACACAAATATAGTTGACAGTTCAACCTTTAAATGATTTTATTTTGTTAAGTAAAAAAACGCGATTTTTTTGGATGTCATTTAAAATAAGAACAGGTTTCAAATCCAACCGCTAGATAATTTGAAATTGTTTTTTCAAGAAAATATAATATTTTTCATTTTGTTAACCTAACTACCAACTAATTGTTAAGGTGGGCTAAAAGACTACATTTGGATGACAAATTTGCTCTTGAAGATGGCAGGTTGGGTATATCTTCTCCTGGTGTTTACTACATCTATGCACAGGTAATAAAATCCTGTTAACCCTATTCCTGCTGGGGGGGGGTCAATCTGACCCCCCCTGTAGTTTTTTTACATAACTCAAAAATTATTGGTCTGAGGCTGTTGAAATTTTCTGACTTTTCTTATATACCCAAAGCCCTCCCTTTAGGCATAAAACCATGACGTTTATTGGATACAAACAGACAGACAAACAAACAGACAGACAGACAAGCCAAATTTATATATAGATTTGTCTTATTTCTGTTTGATGTTTCTTTGAACTACTGACACTTAATACTTATGTATAAAAGAAAGTTTGCCTAATATCATATAATATCCTCGTGCAATTTTATAAACACTTGAAAAAAAATTCGAATTTTGAAAAAACGTTCAATTTTTGAAATAAAATTTCGAATTTTTTTTAGTCTATGTTACCCTATGGAACACATGGGTTTTCTCAAAATTCGGTCCAGCCGTTTGGCCAGCTATAGCTAACATAAAACGTACAAATATGTATATATACTTGGCTTTTAGGGCGCTTCGCGCCCATCTTCTATTTAAATTGTGTACATGTTCTTTTTGTTTACATTTTAAAACAAAGAAGAAAAAAAATTTGCTGATTTTAAAAAAAAACTTCGCGGATTTTCAAGAATTTAATTTTTTTTTATAAAATTAAAAACCTTTTAAAATCATTTTTTTAATTTTTATCATTCACAAACCTTCCCTGGAGTCACGTGATGTCCCACAAAAAAATTGGGCCCGATCGGTTCAGCCGTTTTGACGTTTATTGGATACAAACAAACAGACAGACAAGCCAAATTTATAGATAGATATAAGCTAAGAGCTTTATTTAGAGATTATTCATTAATTTTAACTACTGTTTACCTCTAGAGAAAAAAAATAGAAATGAAAATTCAATCGAGAGGTTTGTAAATTATTATCATAAAAAAGAAGAAAATTGACTAAGATAATGATTTAAACTTTGCATCGTACTTTTATTTTAATTTTTTAATTATTTACAGTGGGACTTTTAAATAGGAACATGAAGACGACATTTAACAATCTTATGTGGGTTTAATGTTGTTACAATGTTTTAGGATTAGCTTTACAATCAACCAATGTATTAAAACATTTAGCAAATGCGGTGTTTTTGAGTTTATTGAAGTATTTAGAACCATAACTATGTTTTTACTTTTCCTACCCTTATTTCGCAGTTTTTTGGGCCTTACTGTAATTAAAGTGTTATTAAAAAACGGGCAATATGGTTTTAACTTATAGAGCCTTTTAAACTATTTAAAGCAAAAACCAGAATTAGGATAAAAAAGTAAAAAATTACTATATACGGGACCCAATCACTTTTTATTATTTTTTTAGTCACTTTGTGGTTGTACAATAACTAATCCTGCACTGTACATACTTTACTGTACTATAATGTACTGTACTGTACTGTACTGTACTGTACTGTACTGTACTGTACTGTACTGTACTGCAGTGTACTGTACTGTACTGTACTGTACTGTAATGTACTGTACTGTACTGTACTGTATTGTACTGCACTGTACTGTACTGTACTGTAAAATGAACTGTACTATACTAGATAAACTACCTGGATGAGCATGACGTCAATGGTTTCCAAATATACGTGAATGAAACTCCTTTTGTGTTATGTACAACTATGACTCATACTCCACAACAGACAACAAAGGTAAGAAAGCCTGGGTAAAATTAAAAACTTCTAGATCCCTCCATATCTTTAAATGTTCACCCTTAATCTAACAAAATTAAGAGGGACATGTCCGATTCACACGGATGCCCTTAAAACCTTTATTGGAACGTCTTTTTTTCTAGTTTGAAAAGTGTTTATTACTGAAATCTTTACATTTTTCCTCCTGCAGAAATGTGCCACTTTTGTAAATAAAGCCACAATAAAAAAAAATAAGTTTTCAAAATCAGAACATGGATAATTAAGTCATACTTGATCAGACAAATCTTTTCAGGGTATCATTGTGAATCTGGCATTCCCCTCTTTAATTGGGGGTCATTTGAAATTACAACAGTCCCTTTAAAATAGGCTCCACAACGGTTGGCATAGTTTTCTCTGGCCCGTTACACAGAGTATATATAGCCAACAGGGGTTAAAGAAGGATCACGGGATGGACCATCCTCGAAGTTTTGCAGAATACCAAACCTGAAACCGAATTTAATGAGTTTGAGCTACGTCACTGAACTACCGACTGCCGGTTCAAAGAACCACCGATTCAAAGTTAAAGATTTAGGAAGGTTTGAATCGATGATACAAATTTTAACCAGTGGTAGGTAGTACAGGGGCCTCACAAATTTATTAAATTCGATCCCCAGTAGTTTAATGAAAAAAATAGATTTTCATCAAAAAATTAAGTTTGAGAGAGGTTGTGTTGGTGGGCGTTTATTCTTTTTTTTTAAAGAAAACATTCATCTAGAATCTTCATACTCGTTATCTCTGGATAACCTTCTATTTATTGATGGGCATCACTTTGAGGTTTTTAAACATTATAGTTCATTGGATATTTGATAGGTTCCACAACAATCTGAAATGTTTAACATATTTTTTACACTATCTATCCCAATTGTTTCCTTTTTTTATTTTGGCCATAGGCATAAACCAAAACGATTTGGTTAATACCTTTGGTCAAAGAAATTTTCTTATTTTAATAAAAGCAAACTTATAAATAATGGGATTTTGTTATGAGGGAATCATCTCAGATTTAAAGCCTAAAACCTTAAATGTGTATAGCGGACCTCAAGACATTTGCACATCCCTAATTTTGTGAAGATCGCTTATGAAAACTTTAAAACTGAACACAGAGAAGGCTGGAGGGGGGAGGATTTATTTTGTTATCCTCCCCCCCCAACTCAATCTCTGAACAATTTTCATATATTCGATAAATGTGTTATTTTATTTCTTGAATAGATAGAATACTGTACGCTGAACACAAACTGTACGGTTCAAAGTCCAAAAAAAATTTATCTGGATTCTCCTCTTAGGTTTCTCTCGAATATTTACTTGAAAAATATCAGACCTAATCGTTTAATATTACAGTTTCGCAATATAAGGATTGTTCATATTCATTTGAGAACATTTACATTAGATTATTTAATTGTTTTTATACCAAAAATAGATGTGTTTGGACAAAACAATACCAAAGTTTATATAAGTTTGTTTGTTTTTCATCATCACAAATTTATTTTTTGTTTTATTTTCATTATTTCTTTGATTTGAAATTAACCCTATTCCCGCTGGGGGGGGGGTCAATTTGACCCCCCCCTGTAGTTTTTTTTACATAACTCAAAAAGTATTGGTCTGAGGCTGTTGAAATTTTCTGACTTTTCTTACATACCCAAAGCCCTCCCTTTAGGCCTAAAACCGGGCTTTAATATTAACTGCCTGAGTCCTCAGGACCCAAATTAAAAAAAGTTGATTTGAATCAAATGGAAATTTGAAATAGTAAACAAATTAATTAATTTCTATTTCTGCAGAATAATATTTTTCTTTCAATACACAATTGAGCTTTGCAAATTTAAGTGCTATCGCAATATTATTTGCTACATTTTGCGTTGCATGAATGTGCCCGTATGCACTTATGTAGTTTTTTTTTAATATAGGAAAGCTAAAAGCACAGTGCCCTGTAAACTAAGTACAGTAAAAAAAATGGCCGCACAATGCCCTATAAACCAAGTACAGTAAAAAAAGGGCGCACAGTGCTCTATAAACTAAGTACAGTAAAAATTATTTCCTCTTGTTTTTGAGCAACCTAAGAATCAAAACTGAAAACTTGGATACCATTAATCCCGATTGCTTAATCTGAATATCCAGTGTGGACACTTTTAATTCCCTCCCTCCCTGAGAGTCCAATCAATAAAATAGAGCGCAAAAATTCAAATTTCCAGGCTTCTCTGATTGGCTGTTCCGTTCTGTTCAAACGCAATCCGATTGGTTGAGTATTATACACAATTTTGTGGTTACAAACTTAAGATTATATTTATCTTGAGATTAACAATAAGAGAAGATCAAGCATTGATCTCGATATCAGCAATTCTAAAGTTTTCAGCTCTGTTATAAAAATTTCCACTTTCTCCAGGCTCCACCTACGCAAGCATAATGGAAAAATATTCTGTAATTTGATTATCTTATCTAAATATGTATTTTATACTAATACATAGATTAGATATAAATGTGTTTTTATGAATATATATTAATATTTGGAAAACAGGTTCTTTAAGTAGGATAAGCAAAGACTTTATTTATTCATATAGAAATATATAAAGCAAAAGTTCACAGATTATTAAACCTCATTTTCCTAAATGCAAAACAACAAACTTATAGTGAATTAAGCTTGACAGAAAGAAAACTAAAACTTGAATGTTTTGACAGACTGTCTTTGATCATCTATACTTGGTCGAAAGCATAGCTAACATTTCTTCCTGCAGACAAAGATTTTAATCATTTTTTTCTACCTTTTGTTTTAATGCGATGCAAGAAGTTATTACAATATATACAGGATTATCCACGAAGTATGATAATGTAAAGACGATCATGAGTCTTTAATTATGACGATTCCAAGATTTATCTTTTGAATAGTCTTTTCATATTTTTTAGCGATTGCATGTGAAGCACAGAAAGAGGTTTAAAGTTGCGGGGTAACGAGAATATATTGAAGCTGACATTTTATCTTCCTTATAATTCGTGTCATTCTTTTCATTATTTATTCTTTCTTTGTTAAAGAGACTTTTCTCATGGTTTCCATGTTTTTTTTTGCAGGTGAACACGTGCTATACTGGAGGTGTCGTCTTTCTGGAGCAGGGAGATACTGTACACATTAAGAACCTGGAAAAAAACAGGTTTAACCGCCAAAGGGGTTGAGTATTTATGAGTACCTTTCTATAAATTCCGATTTTCTATTTTTACATTGAAAATTACAATTTCATAGTTCGAATATTTTGATTGATGTTTTTTGAGGGGGGGGGGGGGAGTATTTTGTTTTAAAATCATAAAGGTTTAATTATATAGATATATCCATGAAAGACTGTTTTAATTCTGTCTTAATTTATTAATTATCAAACATTTTAAAAGTGAAAAATTTCTTGCCTTAATCAAGTAAAAGTTTTTTATTATTAATTAATTTCCAAAATTCTTCTTTTTACAGTGAGAACAAGAAAACTGTGAAATAGTAATTGTAAGTAAAAATTAATGTTGTTACAAAGCAAATAGTTTTCTTATTAAGTGAAATAGATTTGTTTACACCGTATAATTACTACTGCTCATGATCAGTGAACTATTTAAAACCATATCTAGAATCTTACAGTGTCTTCTTATTCCAGAGTTTTCAGGTTCTCATTGTAATATCAGTTAAAGATCAATTGAAAATTTGAAAAATCCTTGCAACATTTGAGACATGACTAGCATGGAAAAAATACAACAATCATAGCTACTGCTTTCTGATAACCACTGTAAAATATAATTTTGACATTTTCTTTTTTAGAATTTCAGTTTTTCTGCCAGCACATTCATTCTTTGGTTTGGTTCAACTCTCTCAAGCGGGGATTTGAGATTTCTTTCAAATTAAACAATGTTTTCAACAAAATCCAAAATACTATAGTATACTCTATGTAATTATTCATATATATGCCAATGACTAAATACGGTAATACAATATTTTTAGTTAATTTTATCATAAATAATAGCTGAAGCATGCGTGGCGTTGACCGAAAGATCATCAAGAGATCGTCCAATACTTGGCGACAGAAAACTCCAATAGATTTAAAGGATTTTATTTAAAGTAACATTTAAATATTTCCGATTGACTAGGGTTTCCTTCATGGAAGATATTATTATTCATTTATCTAATAAAAGTGTTTAATTCCTTTATTTTCCTCTAAAGCATAAATGCGCAAATTACCTTTTATAGAGAAACCTCAATAGAAAATATTATTATGCCTTGGGATCAAATATATCATTTTCTTATTAATCTTAAATTCAAAGAGTTAAGGTTCGGATAGTCTATAGCTATATCTAGGTATCATAAGTATACAAAAAATAACATTTTTATTCAATCTTCATATTTGGCCTTGGCCCTCCATAAAGATACGATTTCAAAATTCATAAAAAAAAATTTATGATTATTCTCTATTCAGTCTTTGGGTTTCTAGGCTCATTGACATGAGATATAATTACAAAAGATATGATTTCAAAAGATATAATTTCAAAAGATATAATTACAAAAGGCATAAGTTCAAAAGATATAATTACAAAAGATATAATTACAAAAGATATAATTACAAAAGATATAATTTCAAAAGATGTAGTTACAAAAGACATAAGTTCAAAAGATATAATTACAGAAGATATAATTACAAAAGATATAATTACAGAAGATATAATTACAAAAGATATTATTACAAGAGATATCATTTCAAAAGATATAATTACAAAAAAATATAATTTCAAAAGATATAATTACAAAATAACATTAAGTATTGTATAAGTAACATAAGCTTAAAACTAAATTAAGTCCATTCTAACGCAAAATTCTAGTAGGGTTTTGCCAATTACACCCTGGACAGTTTATTATTTCATTTAAATTTGGGTTAGCATAGAAGGGAAAACTTTTGAATCTTAATTATGTGGCTCTGGTGCTCAGGAGGTTCAACCTCAGACATTGATTACCTCATTATTACATTAGTAAGAAAAGGTTGTTTTTTTCCGGAGACTCGCTTGTTTGAATGAAATCATACTGAAACAAGAACTAAAGTCCTAGAAAATAATGTCTCAAAATGGTATACAGGACTTTATTTCCTGAGACTTTTTACTCCAAGGAATTTTTTCCACAGAACTTTTTTAGTGCCAAAATGTATGACTTTGTTTCTGAACACTTTTTTAGAGAACTTGAAATCAGTCGAACAGATATGAAATACGGTAAACAGATTTGAAATCAGTTGAACAGATATGAAATATGTTAACAGATATGAAATATGGTTAACAGATTTGTAATAAGTTGAACAGATATGAAATATAGTTAACAGATTTGAAATCAGTTGAACAGATATGAAATATGGTTAACAGGTTTGAAATCAGTTGAACAGATATGAAAAATGGTTAACAGATTTGAAATCAGTGTGGAACAGATATGAAATATGGTTAACAGATTTGAAATCAGTTGAACAAATATGAAATATGGTTAACAGATTTGAAATAAGTTGAACAGAAATGAAATATGGTTAACAGATTTGAAATCAGTTGAACAGATATGAAAAATGGTTAACAGATTTGAAATCAGTTGAACAGATATGAAAAATGGTCAACACATTTGAAATCAGTTGAACAGATATGAAATTTGGTTAACAGATTTGAAATCAGTTGAAGAGATATGAAATATGGTTAACAGATTTGAAATCAGTTGAACAGATATGAAATATGGTTAACAGATTTGAAATCAGTTGAACAGATATGAAATACAGGGTAACTCACAAAGGATGAGACTGTATTTTTATGGTTTACTTAATGATAATAAGCACGAGATAAACCAGTTTTGGCCTACAAGGAACCCTGAATGCAAGAAAACATACTAAACAAATTTCGAATAGTCGTCTTAGAGGTCTCATCCTTTGTGGGCTGCCCTGTATATATATAAGCCGTTTAAGAAGAAAACATGTGTATAGAATCAATTACTGATTGGAAAATGTGAACATTTAATCAATCTTGCAGAGAAATCAAGTTAGGGAGCAAATCTGTGGATTAAAACTAAAAATAGCAAGTTTTTCCTGTTTCGAAAAGACTGAGAAAAGAACTACACATATTTTTTCATCCCTATTTCTTTGTAAACCAATGTCGTAGACCTGAGATACTTCAAACCAAAGATGCTTTATATGTGATATAAAGATGAGGCAATTGAAATTTATATGACTGTTGTGTACGCACTGTGCATCTGTATTTTGACGTCATTGGTTATATTGATTGCTTGTGAGTCTAAAGATCAACATTAAAACCTTACTTATTTAGCATATTTGTGAAAGCTTTGTGCTAAAAGTGAACTAAAATCAATAATATGAATTTATATTTGTATTTCAAAATTTATTCAATCATTTTTTGGATATGATGATCGTCTGGTGTGGTCTGGTGAAATAGAGCTGAATTTGCGATAAAGTTACGCATCTCTTTTGTATTATAAATAGCCAATAACTCTAAGTTCAATAGAATAAGATTTTAGGCGGCGAAGGAGAAAGGAGGCCAGAAATATCCAATATTATAAACGGTAAATAATATTTTGTATGTATATTTCGTCTTCTGTTTAATCCTAGGCAAAGAAATAATATCGCATAGATTAATATAAATTTCACTCTCCAATTGATTTATGGGGATTTGGTTTACGAAATATCAACTATTCAGGAAAAAATTATCTCAGATAGTTCTTTAAAAATGCGAATTAAAGGCCTGACGAATTTTAAATTTGATTTCTTTTAAAGTCTATTGCGAAAGGTATTATTCTTAGTCTTAAAAAGGCAGTATAGAGAAAACTTATGTAAAAAAATAAATTTGGGAATATGAAGACGACTTTTATACTCCATTGATGATTTTAAATAGTTCCATGAACATAAAATACCGCAATTGAGGAGTGAACATACATATTGTCTAAATGTCGTCTGCAAATTCCAGAGTTTTATGTATACAAATTCAATGAATAATTCTGATAAATTCAGGTTCGTCGGGGCCACTGTCATGCAAAGTGACAGATGTATAATACCCAACTACCTACCAAGAATAGGAGAGTCTGCGTTTACAATACCAGCAGATCCAAAAAGAAAAAAGTTTGTATAAAGATGCTTTAATTGGACCATAATCATTTGAATTCCTTAAGCTGAAAGATCCCAGAGTGTGTGCAAAACATGACATGGTTTAATTAATATTATGACGTTATTTTAATAATTCATTAAAATCAGGTAGAGATAGACATTTGTTAACAACAAAATGCGTAGAATTTGCGTAGATTTTCTAATACGTTATCTTAAATTAGCAAAGTCTTTGCTTCAAACTATAAATTCTGTTAAGGTCTAAATTATAAAAATCTAAATTTTTGTAAATTCAAAACATTTGGCTTCTTGGATATCAGGCATAAGTATAAGATAATTTAAAGGTACATATACAGTCCAATTACCTTGCAACTTACAAGAACTAACTTTATCTCTCCTTCAAACAAAACTAGCAGAAAAACATGTTTCTATAAAATTAACATTTTACTATTTATTTATATCTTAGTATTTAAACTAGAGATAGTAAATTAGACATTTTTGAGAGGTCAAAATATGAAATCAATGAAAATAAGTAATTAAGACAAATAATCAACACAACCAATGAGAGAACTCTAACTGGTAGGAACCCAGCAGGGGTATCTTACTGGTTGGAACCCAGCAGGGGTATCTGATAGAAAGGATTAAGCAGAAAATCATAAGTGTCCACAATGGATATCAAAATTTAGCGAACGGTATCCAACACGAGATTTCCAGCTTTAATAAATGAATTTTTAAATATATTTTTTTCTGTTTCATATTCTTGAACATTAGATAATGGGATACTCTTGCTAACACATGAATTTTACAGTTTGTCTTGACCAACCCACCACTAATCATTAATCAATTCCAGTCCAGCGACTGTTTGGTTGCTGATCTGTTCACTGCTGGTTCAGAGTTGAATCGGTGATTCAGATCCTTTCTCAATCTCTAACTTCATATCGGTGGTTCAAATTTGGCAGTAAGTAGTTCAGTGATCTAGCTCAAATTCATTAAAATCGGGTTTTAAGTTTTCTGAAAGTTCTAGAATTTTAAAAATTATAATTTAAATTTAACAACTAATATTTACTTTTCTTCAAAATTCGTATACAGTGTTTATCTGACCTTTAATTAGCTCAAGGAAATATTGAATAGAAGGAGGCGATAGGGTTTCCGTACACTTTGCTGTGACGTTTTTGAATTGCTGAAGAACAAGTTTTTGCGTAACAACAATAATAAAGATTGTAAACAATAACAAAAAATAATAAACAGACATCTTGGGGGGGGGGGCAGGATAACCTTGAATTGATTGAAAATGTCTCTGTAATAAGGTCCTTTTCGTATAAAACTAAAATTCTTAACTTTTTCAATCTTTTTAAACATGATTTAATACTACTTTCACAGTTTACTAACTCATGTTTGTTTACATTAGATCGGCTGCCTTTGTTATTGTTGTTACGCAAAAACTAGTTCTTCAGCAGTCCAAAAACGTCACAGCAAAGTGTACGGAAACCCTATCGCCCCCTCCTTCTATTCAATATCTCCTTGATTCAGCTATTGAAGTTTGTTTGATTAAAGCAATTCAGGGGCGGCTATGTTATATTTTTTTTGGGGGGGGGATCAAAGGAACCCTAATTTTTCTATGGGTAAACTATTTTCCATTGAGGCGGACTAAGAATAAGATTGTTGTTACAATTACAATTGAAATACGCCACCACTGGGTTAATTTATTTATATTGGGTTGATCCCAATTTTGTTTCAAAAATTTTACTGTTAGAAAAAAATATAATTTTATGTCTTTTAATATTAATTTTCTGGTATTTCTTAAAAATTAGTATTTGGTTTTTAGTTGTGCACGCAAAGAATGTTATTAAAATATTCTANTCTTATTTTTAAATTAAGTCTTTATGAGATAAATTCTTATTTTTAAATTTAGTCTATCTTAGACAAATTCTTACTTTTAAATTTAGTTTATATTAGACAAATTCTTATTTTTAAACTTAGTCTATATTAGACAAATTCTTATTTCTAAATTTAGTCTATCTTAGACAAAATTCTTATTTTTAAATTTAGTCTATATTAGACAAATTCTTATTTTATATAAAA